AGAGACGGGCATAATCAAACAGCCACAAATCTCAATGAGCTTAAATAACATTGTAAAGAAGAGTGAGCAAAAAAAAAAATACTTGTAGTATGCAATGCATAATTTTTCAAACATAAACATTATCTTAGACAATAATCTCAACACCACCTTCTAAAGTTGCCACATAAAATTTTATGGTATTATTTTCTTGGCAGTTTAAAGTCAGACAGTAGCATTACCATAGAATACATGAACAAATTCCACCCATATTCCCCTAGAGCTTAAAAAGATAAATTGTGCATTACATTAGTCCTTTACCACATACTATCAATCCAAGTTTATAGCAGCAGTATAGCATGAATATATTTACATTATATTAATGATTATTGACAGGCAGGGATAGGTCCAGCTTCTGCGTAAACACAGGGGATCTGTGGTGTAAAGGCAATCTTTGCAGTCCTGTGAGAGGACGAGACACCAAAGCCTTGTAGAGCACTGTCATCATTATGCTGGATTCATAGCCCACACTTCTTCTCTTCTGTACTTCCATTTTCATTGCTTTAGCTTGCTCAAAGAGACCCATGGGACCAAACAGGGAATATATTGCTTGTGTGTGTTTTTTATAATTGGCTCTAAGGTGACACGAGTCCTCGAGTTGTTCCAGCAGACTCCAAAACAGGTTGTTTGAATTTGCCCATTGTGTTTACATGATTCTCTGTCAATGCAGGCATTTGTTGATATGCTGCATGATTGCCAGTATAAGTTGCAGGGGCAATTTTGGAGACAGTCTTGTGGTCACAGGAGTATTTTGTATGCATTAACTTGTTTGGTATTTAGATTGCTGGCTCTGTGAGTTGGGTTATTGCAGTATTGATGCAAGCCTTTCACTGAAATGGACCAAGTGATTAATCCTGCGATTTCATCAACAACATATTACCACTTTATATCGATAAATATACACTTTACTTATAAAAAAAAACAAGTACAAATTGTATTTCTCATTTAGAAATTCTGATCACCTCAAAGTTTTTACAATTTTAACATGAAAGAAACGCATTTAGTTGAACAAATGTTACACAGCGTTGTAATATACTGCAACGGGCCAATGTTTAACGCAGCCTCCAGTATTGCTGTCTTGTAATATGCAGTGGATATATTAGTGGCAAATAAAAACCTGTCTATTAAATGTTGGATTCCGGTCTTAATCTGACTCAGCAGAATCACCTCTTCATGATTCCTAATGTTGGCAAGGAAAATGTAGAGGGTACAGTAAACAGAAGTTAACTAACTTTAAGTAAAAATAACACACTGACAGGTGTGCATTGGTGGACAGTGGTGTAAAATAAATGAATGGAGACAGTACTGAAATGACATCGATCGGGCATAGCACTAAGACCAGTGACAAGTGAAGTGAATAACACTGTTTATCTCTTCATCATGGCACCTGTTAGTGGGTTGGATACATTAGAGAGAAAAGAGAACATTTGTGCTCAAAGTTGATGTGTTAAAATCAGAAATAATTGGCAGGCATATGGATCTGAGTGAGTTTGACGGGGTCAAATTGTGATGGCTAGATTTCTGGATCAGAGCATCTCCAACACTGCAGCTCTAGTGGGTTTTTCCCAGTGGTCAATATCTATCAAAAGTGTCTATCAACCACAGACTCACCGACAGCCAAGGCTCAATGATGCACATGGGGAACGAAGGCTGGCCCGTGTGATCTGATCCAAAAGATGCAAAAAAGTTAATGCTGGTTGTGTTAGAAAGGTGTCAGAATACACAAAGCATCACAGTTTATTGCATATGGTGCTGCATAGCCAGATCTGATGATTCACGTTACCTTTTGCATCACATGGATGTTTGTGTGCGTTGCTTACCTTGGGAACATTAGGCACCAGGATACGCTATTGGCAAACCAGCAGAGGCTGCGCGATGCTGTGACCCACAATCTGATGAAAAACCTTGGATCCTGGCATCCACGTAGATTTTACTTTGACATGTACCACCTACATAAGCATTGTTGCAGACCACGCATGCCCTTTCATTGAAACAGTATTCCCTGGCTGTGGCCTCTTTCAGCAGGATAATGTGCCCTGCCACAAAACAAAAGTGGTTCGGGAATGGTTTGAGGATCACAACAATGACTTTGTCCTCGGAATTCTCCAGATCTCAGTCCAATCAAGCATCTGTGGGATACACTGGACAAACAACTGTAATCCATAGAGGCTCCACCTCGCAACTTAGAGTTCATGCCTCGACAGGTCAGGGCTGTTTTGGCAATAAAAGAGGCACTAACACAATAGTAGACAGGGAGCCATAATGTTTGGCTGATCGGTGTACGCTGACAAAAGCGGTAAATTTATACACAGTTCATTATGTCTGTCTTTGTTCTGTTATTTTTCTTCTTCATTTACAGTTGCTACAATGTGTTCTAGATTTTTTTGTCTTGTGATATATCAAATATCACAGGATCATATCATGGTGTGATGGTACCATCATGTCAGGAGAATGACTGAAGTGTTTTATTGTTATATGTTGGAAAACCAAGGATGGACAAAGGGCTAAAGCTCCCGCAAAAAGGAGACAATTCCTGAATGAATTTGTTGGTATTCTTGTGCACAGTTTTCAAGTTGGTTGTTACAAAAATCTTGGCGATCCTTCCTCAGTTGATCTGGGTATCTATTCTGAGTCGCATCTGTCTTTTTTTGTAATCCCAAAATCACTTGATGAGGCCGTGATAGGGGCTGTGGGGGCTCCATGCAATCTGTTGCAGTGCTTCTTACAAATAATTCTTCATGATTCTCACTAAATGGTGCAGAATGAGCTCAAAAACTAACAAAATAGTGAGATTAAACTTTGAACATGTTAAATAGCTAAAACAGTTGTATATTACTCGTATATATTCCACTTGTCTGATGCAAACACACAAATAATTTTCCAAATTTGTTTGAGTAGGATTGAACAAATTTTAGCAAGAAAAATAATTAAGACATAGGCCTGCTGTGCCATAAGTGTGCTCATATCGGTTTAGTCTAACAACATCCTTGTTTCTGTGTAAACAAATGAGCATCAGTTTGAATGATGACGATGATGACAGCTGAAACCACTGCTCCCATTTTCCCAGCAGTTACTGTGTTTACATCTCTCAACACCTTTGTTGTATTTGCTGTGTGTTTTCGTTAGATAAGAAGGCAAAAAGTCAAGTTCAATCCTCGTTGTATGCAGAGAGTCACAGAAAGAAAATGATCTGCCCCGTATTTAAAATGTCATTGCGAAATAACGGTTGGATTGACAGAGTGAGAGATGTATTATTATCAAATAATTATTATCAAATTAAACAGATGCGTAACCTGAAATGCTGAACTATGGTTATTGTCAGCCCAGCAATTATTTTGTCAGAGTGGCCTTGATGTCCTCTACACATGAAATGGTCTTTATTGAGAAACCACCACATCCCTAGGCTACAAAGTTATTTACATTAAGGCTCTAACCACTGACCCGCTTATTTAAGGAAAACAATAAAATAAGAAAAACAGTTTGCCAATCTTTCAAGCCTCTCTACTGCCAAAACCACTGCAAATGTTGTGGTGAAGTGAAAGTTGCCAAAGATTTACCAAATCCATGTAAATCATGGCCCTCTGAGCTTGTGTCCTCTCCCTCTCCTCAAAAGCCCTTCAACACAACAGGCAGCATCGCACTGCCAAAAGAAATGTCTGGAGTAAATCTGCTAGTGTTGAGTCACAGCTAACCCAAGGCACATCCATTTTTTTTTCTGCGGCTCGAGGCCAAAGAGAGATCTAATAAACAAGTAGGACCTGAGAGAAGGACCCCTCATTTATCCGACTACCAGAGCAGTTAGTATCATAGCACAGAGGCCACTTGAACTATTGTCCTGTGTATAACTCATGAGCATTTTGACAAGAAAGACTGACTGAAATGGTAATGCAGTAGATGAAGGCTAGAGATGAATGAGACACAGAGTCCATGGCCATCTATTAGATTATCATCAAACAAAAACGCAGTCAAACCAAATTCCTCAGCGCTGCCGTCTCTACACAGGTGTCTTATTAGTGTTTTTGGCAATGCATGGCACATCAGCATCACAGCTGATTAACTTTTGTGGATACATTTTGTTCCCTTCTTCAGATTATACTCAGCTATTTTCCTCAGTAGGATACTGACAGAACATGCACAAGTTTCAGAGTGTAGCATCCCCTATGGAAATGTGAATGTGTTATGTATGAAATTATAGTATTTGTGGAACACAAACCAAAATGATCTGAAAGTCTTTTAGTTAGTTCCAGCATCTAAAACTGATTTTATCCTCTGCTTTATAGCCATTTAAGCTGAATATCTTAAGGTTTAAGAGTGTTAGCAGGGCAAAATAAGAAACTGCATAAAGAGCTTCTGTAGCACGTAAAGAAGAGTATTTTCATTGTTTTCTAAAATTTAATATTTCTAACACTTCATGTATAATATCAATTACTGATAATTACTGTAATGAACGGCTCTTACACTAACAATATTCACTCATACATGTATATTCTGTACAAACAGCAGAGATTAGTCTAATCCACTAGCATGACTATACTAAATTTTGTTTCTGTTATAAGATGCTTTATTATAAAGTGTAAAAAAAAAACAACTGAATTCAGAAAAATAATTCTCTAACAAACATTTTATAATACCCTATAGTGCGGGCTAATGTGCAAGATAATAGTGCGGCTAAAGTACTTTCACATTGGTTTAAATAGATTCAACTCCTCCCATAAAGTTAAATTATCTGCGTTTAAACCCCGTATCTCGCGCTCTGATTGGCTGGCTAAACTGTATGGGGACCCTGGTGCTGAGGCATTCAACATCTGGGAGAAAAGTGAGCATTACAGGGGCGGGGCGTAGCGCAAAAAAACTGCTCCATTGGCCAATCGAAGGCAACCTCATCCTAACTTCACTCGTTGATTGGTTTGAATCCCTGTCAAACAGCACTACGGGGGCGTGGTCTGAGCTGCAGCCGAGGTGTTGTGATTTTAGTCTAACCAGCTTCAGTCCTGTCACAACAGTGAGGGGCGTCTTTTCGCTACGCTGGCGCTCTGGGAATACTAACCATTTCAGAAACAACTAGCTAAAACTAACAACCCCGCTTTTTTTCCTTCGTCATTCTCGAGACTTTACAGCTTGTTCTCTGCGACAGTATCTCAGAAACACTGCGACGTGTGTATTTTCAAGGTGGAAGCACGAAGGTAAGTGGTTCGTTTACTAGTTGAGGACTTTGGCGATGCTGTTGCAGCTGTGCTTACTTTGCTAAATACGAGACAGATGCTTTAAGTTTGCCACAGAAGAGAGCTTATTTAGGCACGTGAAGATCGACGATAATCACTTGAAAACAACATATCAGACGCTTTTAATAAACCTGAACTGTCCCTGTACTCTCCCGGAGTTTCATTTGTGGTCCGGAGAAGCCGCTGCTTTTCTCGGCTGTGTTTCGAAGTCCCCCTTTTTTCTGCACTGGTAACTGAATAACAGAAATTACAATCTGACATCAGCCAGGGTTAGACCAGTTATATATATAATAGTTATTTTTTTTGCAGTAGCTCTGTTCCTTTTTGTTTTCATTATTTCCATGTGTGTATCACGGACGGGTTTGGAAGCTGTGTTAACATCGGCAGCGAAAACTATATGCATAGTCATATGAAACCCTGACATACACGTTTTCTCTCTTGTTGCTGCAAGAGTCCCCAGCAACTTATCACAAATAAGCAACCGATAACACGTCTCTGACTGGCATCTCGCCTGAGACACTAATTGAATTTTTGGTTTATTTTCTGGCGGAAGCAGCCCAAACTTGTTTATCAAGGACCTGATTGTGGAAAAACAAAAGAAAGAAAGAAGGGAAAAAAGCGGGGGATTAGTGCGTAATGGAGACTGTTCACCATCAGATAGAGGGGGAAATCAGTGTGAGTTTCTGGAAAAGAAAAGCAGCAATTACGTGGCAGTTGGATTATTGTGAAACGGCACATCTCCCTCTCACTCTGCACAGATTTTACCTCTTAAATCACGCTTACTTGTCTTAATGCCAAACTCGGAGGGAAAACGATGAGCTCATTGTTCTAACAGGTTTCAACGGGAGAACCTGCATTAGACCTCAGTGTTGCCTACGATGCAGAAAGAAATTGGAAACCTGTGTTTTTCTTCTCTTCTCCTGCTTTCCTAGGAATCGCTGGTGAATGTTTATGTTGAAATGGATGCTCCTGGCTGCTTTTAAACCGTCCTCCGCACAAAGGGAGACCACGATTTGTCTCAGCCCGTTGTGCATTAGTCCTCTAATTTCCTTAAGTGGGTGTTCAGTTTCAGTTGAGGCTAAGAACATTTCAACAATAAATAAATCTCTGTTGTGCATAAACACTGACAGACTACACCACTGCCTTTTCGATCCTGGACTCTTGCAAGGTGATATTGTAGACTGCATGCCCTCT